AGAACAATCCAGAATAATTCCAAGATCTTTGGTCTAAGCAATTGGATGGAAGACATTACCATTTATTTGTTAATAGATGGGAAGAGGAAAAAGTGTAGACTGGCAGAATAAATATGGAGACTTTGATAAATCTGAGATATATATTAGACATCCAAGTGATGTCATAGAAGCAAATGATATGAGACTGAAGTTCAGGTATTCCAGGCTAGGGATATATATTTTAGAATCATCATGAGCCCAAGAGGGAATGTAAATAAGATTAGAGAAATAGTCCCAGAGGTACTCCAATGATTAGTGGCTAGGGAAATGAAGAGAACTCAGCAGAAGAAAAGAGTAGGAGTGTTTGGCCAGGGATGATGGCTCACACCTGTAATCCTAGCTCTCTGGGAGGCCGAGGTGGAAGGACAGTTTGAGGTCAGGAGTTCGAGACCACCTCAGCAAGAGTGAGACCCCATCTCTACTAAAAATAGAAAGAAATTAGCTGGACAACTAAAAATAGAAAAAATTAGCTGGGTGTGGTCATGCATGCCTATAGTCCTAGCTACTTGGGAGGCTGAGCCAGGAGGATTGCTTGAGCCCAGGAGTTTGAGGTTGCTATGAGCTAGGCTGACACCATAGCACTCTATCCCTGGCAACAGAGCGAGATTGTCTCAAAAAAAAAAAAAAAAGTAGGAGTGTTCAATGAAACAGGAAGAAAACCAGGAGAGTGAGAGTGTGAATAAAGTGTTTCACAGAGGAAGGCATTATCAACTGTGTCACATACTGCTGACTTGTCAACTAAGATGAAGACTGAGAACTGACAACTGGATTTAGCAATATGGAAGTCACTGGTACAATAATTATAGTAGAATGATGGGGAAAGTCTGACCAGAATGGGTTCAACCCTAGGAGGAGAGGGATTAGAAACATCTGGTATAAACAACTCTTTTAAGTTTTGCTGTGAAGACATGAAGCATATTGAAGGGATATGGAGTCAAAGAAACATTTTTAAGATGAAACAAATTATAGACTATTTGTACAGTGATAGAAAGGAAAACAGTAGAAAGGAAGAAAGATACAATAAACAAGAAAGAGGAGAGAATGGTTCAACTGATGTAGGTGAGAGCAGATGGGATCATAGCATAAGTAAAGGGGCTGGCCTTAGATATAAATACAAAGAGTTCATCCCAAGTAACAGAGTATATGGGCACAGATAAGATGGGTAGGTAGAAGAGTTGGCAAGAACTTATAAGGTCCTTTTATGATTGCTTCTATTTCCTCAGTGAAACAGAAAGTGAGGATATCAGTAAGAGTGAAATCAAGAAAAATGTGTTGAAGGTTTGAGAGAAAGGAGATGATATAAAAAAGTCAGATAGCAGATGGAAGAAAGCTAAATGAAGTGAATAAGTGAACTAAGGAGGTGGACTAGGATTGTATGATAGCATCATAGATCCATTAGACATTGAATTATAGTGATATAAGTTTGCATGGTTGTGTTTTTCTTCAGGAACATTCAAATGCACAGTTCCATGTATGAAGTAGGCAGACTTATATTTAACTATGGTTAGAATTTTGTCAGGGAAGTATGATGATGCAAGAGATAGGCAAGGGAGTAAAAACATAGTACTAAACCTCAACTGAATAAAGAAGGAAACAAGAACAAGAGTGTGGTAGACAGTGCAAAGGTATGAGGATGAATGAACTGAAGTCCTGATGAGAGTGAAGAACTGTTAGAGTCAGAACACTTGAGAGGGTGGTTAGGAAGACAGAAGAGGATGATGGTTGAAGGGAAGGATACTTGAAAGTAAGATTTTGGAGGGGCCAGAATTGTGGTAATGACAAGAGCAATGGTATAGCTATGGAAACAAGTAGCTGAGGTAGGTGGAGAATATGATCATAGAGAAGAAGTGATTCTGGAACTGAAAGTATTAAAAGGATTAGCTATATGGATATTGAAATCATCCAGAATTATGACAGGGGTAATACTAAAGAAAAAAAGGAAAGAAGGAGCTAAAATTCATAAAATGACAGGAAATGGTCTAGGAGTCTATACACAATAATAGAAAGGAGAAAAATACATGGTACATACTTATGAAATTCAAAGTTGGGAGGTTTAGGGACAGGGAGACAGTTGAGAAAGTGGAAATGAGGTACAAAGAGGGTACCTATTCCATCTTTAGAATAGTATGAGAGACATGAAAGACAAAGAGTAGCCACATGAAAGAACTACAGGGAAGCTAGGTACTCAGAGGAAGCTTAGGTTTCCTTAGAGAAAGAAAGTGAAGGAAATGTTCAGAAAAGAATTAAGGACATGTGGGTTTTGCTGATGATTGACCGTGAGTTCCATAGAAGACAGTAGAAGTGTTTCAAGAGTAGGAGAACAATGGAAGATAAGGTCAGGAAACAGATGACAGCCATATGGGATGAGTCTGGGAAATGAAGGATAATCTAAGATTCATGAAGTGACTGACATAAATTGAGATAAACGGCATAATGTCATTAATCCAAATAGTCTCAAAGCAGATAATGACGACAATGCGGTGAGTAGTGGGGATCAGGGACTAGCAAGTAAGGGTTTGGCCAGATGTATACAGAGCTTTGGTATTCTCATTCCCTCCAGCTGATAGTGATGAGGAGGCCAGTGGATAAGAGTTGTGAGTCTAGTCCAGAGCATAAGAAGTGTTCTAAAAAAAAGGCAATGAGCCAATTGTTTCTGAGAGAACAGTGTGTACAACTTCTTGCAACCCTTAGGGAATTTTGTCCCAGTGAGCATGCATAATAAGAGTTATCATTTAGCAAGGACTTGGCATTTTATGTATATTATTTTACTTCATTCTCATAACAATCCCATGAGGGAAGTATTATCATTGCCATTTTACAGATGACAAACTAAGGCTAGAGAGAATAAGGTACTTTATATGTCACCTCAGCTACTATGAAAAATCCTGATAGACCCAAAATCCTGTATAAAATCTAAAATAGAAAAATTTCACTTTACTTTTATAAAGTTAAACATTTTTCTTCCTCTTTTACCTCCAAGCACATAAATGAATAAATTATTTTGTAAAAACTTATGATAGCTCTTTCTCTGACCAATGAATTCAATGTGAGCATAATACTCCTTTATGACAGTTCAACAAACTGGGGGAAAAATTAGCTACATTATTCTCTAGTTTTTTATATATGAATGTATGTATTAAAAAAAAGAAAAGCCTACCACCACAGAGAATTTTATATTGACTGAAGGAATTCAATCAACGGAAGACAGGTGCACCGGTTTTGTATGAAAAACCATGAAGAAGTTAGCTCATGGACACAAGTAAGCTAAAAAAAAAAGTCAAAGGAAAAGAAAAAAGGAAGAGAAACATATGTTTTCACTTTATATGCCCCAGAGTTATAGAAGAACAAAAGGCAGTGTAAGAGTCTTCAATATATATGAACTGAAAGAGAGGAAAAAAATTAACATTACTTAGAAATTTCTATGAATTGAATACTATTCCCAAATAATTAAAATTAATAAAATATTTTAGTGTTATTAAAACTATAATGAAGTTTAGATGACATAGTTGCCACATAATTGACAAAAAGCTATTAAGATATTAGGTAAGCTATCATAATTAAGTAAAAACAATTTTTTCATACAAAGAAGCAAAATTTCAAAATATATAATTAAAATTCCAGTCAAGTTTCAGCAAGATTTATAAATAAATTTATCTAAAGCTATTATGCCTGAATTTGGGATGTTGTTATGAACAACTTGTTACTTTGGCATTAATATTTGCATTGTTTCCTAGTATTTTTATCTGTCTGCATGTTCACCCAAGCCCCTTGAGAACAGAGACATGCACTGGCTGGCCAAACCATTGCTACAAGTTACAGCTATGAACTATGGATCCTAAAGCAGTTTTGCATAAGAATCACCCACAGGACTTGAAAAAAACATGTTCTTGAGTCCTGCCTCAGGTTTTTGGAATTAGGATCCCTGATGTTTAGAAATCTGTGTATATAAAAAGATCTACGGGTGTTTTCTGATGCACAGATAGGTTTTAGGAAAACAAACTAGAGCAGTAGTTTTAGAACTATGTTCTGAGGAGTCTTAAAAGTTTCAGAAACATCTTTGGGCTTCTTGATCCATTTCAGCCAAGAATGATGCCATTTTTATCTATTTTTTGTATCTATTCTGCTTCTTAAAATCTGAAAACCATAAGACCAGACAGAGCAAAATGAACTCACCCATGTAAGAAGTAAAGCCATAATTTTGGCATCAAAATTGACCTAATCCAAAAATAAAAGAAACTATACAAAGACCAGGATTGATGGACATAGACTGTTCATTAATTACAGAAGGAAAACCTTATAAAAGCAGTTCTATAATTCATATGCTTTTATTTATTGCAACCTCAAAGAACTTATTCAATACATGACTAAATTGCATAATGAAATTTCAAATGGAAAAACATAAATACATATTATAGTAATTGCACATACTTCTGCCATTTAGAAAAAACTAGCTTATCATACACTTGCAAGTAAAAATACAAAATGTATCTAAATAAATCCAAAGCTTTGCCACCTTGCCTTTTACAATCCTAATTTTGCCATCTCTACCTCTGTCTAGTGGACAGACTAGGGCAGGGAAGGCAGCAATAGATCTGGGAAGGTGTTCTCCTTGAGGAGAAACATGATCAGAATGAAAATCTGTCTACTGCCTCCTCATAAGCATAAGGTTTGGATCCTCTGAATGTCTTTTAGGTGCTCCCCTAATCTACTCTAACCCAGAAAATTATGTTGTGCTATGGAGGAAAGCAGGGAAGAATGCTAGTTTCCTCCTGCCATCCTGTCCTTGGATATTCCTCCACAGGATTGGGTTTATATATTCTGGCCTTTTTAAATTCTCCATTTCAATCACCCTACCTAATAACATATGACCATTGGAAACTAGGTTTGAGACAGCCAATCCTTTATGTAAATACAAACTCAAGGGATTGCTTCACCAAATGAAACAGCATATTTTTACTCACCTGTCTGAATACACATACTGAGCAGAAGATGGACTGAGTAAGAAGCCAGGAGAGCAACTATCAGCAGCAAGAAACTAAAATATAAAAGAACACATAGTCAAAGCTCCCAAAAAGTTTCTCTATTTTATGGTGTCTCACTACAAAAAAAATTTCTTCACAAATGTTCATGTGGATTGTCTCTGAGTAGCTGAACAATGGTCATGAAGGAAATTACAAAGATATTATTACTTTTCTACTTTTTAGTACTTATCAAATTTTATTTAAATGAAAATGTACTGTTTTTAAAATCAAAAAAGAAATAAAAAAGAAACAAACTTTATTTAAAATGCAATTACACTTCCTCATTTTGTATTCTTGTCTGCTGACTGCTGGTTCAGCCATTCAATGATCTTGTAAAATTTCTCTTTTATGACTGTTTTTTCCTATTTTAAGTGTAAACAGAAGTTTCAGTTATGAAATCTATCTTCTTCTTTTCCCTTCCCTTCCTCCTTCCCATGATGTGGACCTCCTTACCATAATTTCACCTCTAATATTAAGGCTGTATTTCCTAATATCTATTAAACATACACACTCTCTCCAAACCAAACCAAAACAATACAGTTAACACACTTGTAATGACACAATTTGAAAAATGTGCAAACAATATAATGATTGAAGTCTTCTCACCAACAGTGTAAGAAGAAACAACATGCATAATTTCCAACTTATCCTCAGGAAAGTACTAGCAGCACAAGTTTCTAGCTATAGAGCTGGTCCCAGTAGATTGCCCCAATAGTTGAAGATATTCTATTTCTGTGGTCCAGGTAATACTTGTTAATTAGCAAAATTGAGAGGTGAGAGTATACTCCATTAAACTGACATCAGAGATCTCACAAAGTAGCAATTTCTTATCACCAAAAGAGGCAGTTGATATGATTCAGTGAACACGCATTCATTCAGTGGTATACATCTGTGTGTAAGACCCTGGTGTATAAAACATGATTTTTCAAAAAGAAACAAAAAGCAAGAGCTCTATGTCTTGCCTAAAGTGTCACATATAGTTTTTATTTTTAAAAATAATGAAAGTTTGTGAATACATATAATAAAAGCAAGTTGGGTTACTTAAAAGTTGGTGTGCTTATCAAAATATTTGTAATAAAAGGAAATAGATCTAAATGAGACTCTACATATTTTAAATTTCTTAGTAAAACAGGTCTGCTTCTACTAACAAAACAAACAAAAGAAATTTGTTTATTCATTCTATTAGTCATGGTGCTAGATGTTAAGGATAAGTTTCAGTTCTAATGGACAGTTTAGTGGGGGAGATTAACTTGCAAACAAATCATAACACATTATAATAACAGAATGAATATACAAAATATTATGGGAGCACAGAAAATCCAGGACTGTATTCTATTCAGGGCAAAACTACCTTATGAGCTGAGTATGGAAAGATGAAAAATAGGCACAGAACACATGCCTGACCTCAGAAAGTGAAATAAGACTACTTAACAATAGGAGAGGAGAAGATGGAGAAGAATGAAATGATTATGTTTGCACTTATAAAATTACTATTTATAAGTAATCTGCATGGCTGATAAACTTGACACAAGGAATACGCCACTTCTTTTATTTTTTAAAGAGATCCTCGACTTGTTCTATCCTCCATGCTGGAGTGTAGTGGTGCAATCACAGCTCACTGCAGCCTCTAATTCCTGGGCTCAAGTGATCCTCCTGCCTCAGCCTCCCAAGTAGCTCGCATTATAAACACGAGCCACCACACCTGCTGTGAATAAGTTTTTAAGGTTATAAAAGAGAGTCGATCAAGTTCCCATTTTTAAAAACTATCCACACTTTTGGATAAAAAAGCAAACTATATAGTAATCCTCCAAGCTACAGACTAGCATCAACATTAGCGAGAAAAATAGTAGAACCTCAGGAATAATTTAACTGGAAACTGTATAACAGCAGCTTCTGGAACCTATCTCTTTGCTTCTCAGTGTACTATCAAAATGGGGAAAAACTGATAGTAAAATATGAAACTCACCTAAATCCAAGGATACCGGTATTAGCCATAACATAAGCTAAGCCAAGGATGCCACTTCCCATGATGGCATTCATCAAATTAAACACTGAGAAACCAAATGAAACACCTGAGGATCCCTGTCTGTGAAGTTCCTGTAAGCACACAAATTTAGAAATGTTAAATGTTTGGATGATGGAATTCAAATTTTGTGAAGAAATCACTGAACGGTTATGGAAAAATCCGCAAACCACCAGGTTTTGTGTGACACACTAGGTGCTTAACCAGCCTGAGTTTCCTTTCCTTTCCTTCCCACCTCCCACTAGTGCAGCTCCAGGAACCTTGAGATTCCTAGGAAAATCATCTCTACCAGTACAGAGACCAGGTAGGCTTCAGGAAGAGCCAGGACTAACCTTGAGTTTGCCAAGAGATGAAGATAGGACAGGAATGGGGTGGGGACGCAGAGGAAGGATATGGCCTCTTCTCTTGTGATTACTGAAAATCCCTGAGTCATCTTGGGACTGGGTTAACAACTGTCCAATTAGTAGGACTGTAAAACTAATCTCTATTTATTACTTAATGAATTAATTCCATCCAACTTGAAGGACAGTCAGGAATATCTTGCAATGACACTATAATAAACGGAAGCAATTCACATTGCTCTGGAGAGGATATCCCTGAAAACACCCCCTCCCCCCATAGCATTTGGGAACAAAGTCCTAGACACTGTTACAGTCCAATGATTTGACTTAAAAAGCACAGTGTCCACTGCACAGGCTTTAGGGTCAGGGAAATGCTAAACACTTTTTTTTTTTTTTGAGACAGGGACTCACTCTATCACCCAGGCTAGAGTGCAGAGGCTGGATCATATAGCTCACTGCAGCGTTCCTCAAGAGATCCTCCTGCCTTAGCCTCCTGAGTAGCTAGGACTACAGTAGCTGACACTACCACGCCTGGCTAATTTTTCAGCTTTTTGTAGAGAAGGGGTCTTGGTATGTTGACAAGGCTGGTCTCAAACTCCTGGCCTCAAGGAATTCTACTGCCTAGGCCTCCCAAAGTGTTGGGATTACAGGCATGAGCCACAGTGCCCGTCCTTATGCACTTATTATTATTGCCAGATCATTTCCACTCCTCCACCGCTAAAGAGTTCTTAAGTAAGATGTTTATAACTCCCTCAATGGCTGAGTTGAGAAAAGAAAAATCCTATGACTCTTGCAAAGTTGTCACAAGACTGGTAGAGAAAACAGGAACGTGATAAAGATACTAAGCAGTGAGTCACACTGCCCTACAGTGCTCATCCCGTCCGGTGCCCAGCCTCCACTCAGCGCTACATGTCTTCCACTGGAGACTGCAACTTTACTTCAGCTTTTCTTTCTAGAGCATCGGTCCCCAACCTTTTTGGCACCAAGGACAGGTTTCATGGAAGACAACTTTTCCACAGACCCGGGCGGGGGATGGGGGGGGGGAGACGGAGCTCAGGCGTTGATGAGAGCTATGGGGAGCGGCTGTAAATACAGATGATGAATCTTCACTCACTCGCCTGAGCAGCCAGTTCCTAAGTTTTATGGAAGACAATTTTTCCACGGACGGGGATGGAGCATTCCTAACAGGCAGCGGACAGGTACCGGGCTGCGGCCAGGGGGCTGGGGACCGCAGTTCTAGAGTATGTTAGGGTGCCGTCACATTCATAACCCCTTCGATCTCATCTGACTCTTAGCTGCTGCCTTCGGGACCCAACCCCAGGGCCCGGGATTCAGCTGCTCCCCTCTACCGGTGCCCTGCTCCTTCTTCTCCAGTTATTCAGCAGGCACGTGAGGGAAGCCAAGGGCGTCAGCGCCTGGAAAAAAAACGGAGGCCACTTACGTTGCTTAGCAACGGACTCAACTCTTCCGCCTCCGCCTCTTCGGGTTGCTGCGCAGAGACGTACCAGCCCCGCTCAGCGTTGATGCTCTCCTGGGAGGTCTCCATGCTGCTCTTTTGCTAACTATCAGGCCCATCTGAGAACCTTTTCCCCTGCCCTGTGATCTCGTCGTTAGTCGCGCCGGAGGAGGAGCCATCGGCCCTGCCCTTCGGTGTTTCCGGCACCTCTCCGCAGCGGGTAAAAAAGGAGCGCGTCGACTTGATCTGACGCTAGCCCTTTCTGCGGCGAGCGGTGATGATGTCATCGAAGGCCGGCCCATCTTCCCGCAGCTGGTTTTGGAGCGGCACCGGAGCATGAGGTGAGGAGTCTAGTCACCGAACCAGATGCGGAGCGACTCTGGGAATTGAATGGTGCAGTGCTGAGGTGGCGGCCGCGGTGCCCTTGGCGGTTCAGACGGGCTGATGGTCCAGGGGCGGTACCAGTCCGGCCGGGCTGCTCTCTGCCTCGTGCGGCCTGGGCACGGAAACGCCGCGGGGTCACCCATCCGCCCTGGTGTCGCGCTTGGGTCCGAGTTAAATCCTTTAGCCGCATTTTTACAGATGGGAAACTGACACTTACATTAAGTAATCTACTCAGGGTCACCCAAGTGGTTAACTGCTGGACCCATTTTGAACCCTATGAGGTTAAACTTTGTTGCTTTACAGGATTCTGGAGCAGAACCTTTTCCCATTACAATTACTTAGTTGGTATTTTAGAAAACAAAGTGAGTAATACTGTGCATATAACACTCAGCAGAGCTGTCGCCCTCAGAATATGGAAACCTCTAGTTAAGGACAGGACCTGTGGCAGTAAACATGGAGGACTAACAACATAGCAATATATTAGGAACACAAGCACTAAAGTCAGACCTTGCTAAGCCACTTACCAGCAACGAAACTTTGGGTGAGGTAACCTACTTCTGAGCTTTAGTTTACTCATTTACAAAATGAGGACGCTATACTTCACACCTCCCAAGATTGACAATATGTATAAAGCATTTGGCACAGCATCTGACACAGTAAGCACCCGTGAGAATATCCCGATAAGTATATCCATTGGTTATGTCATGTAAATGACCATTTCATTTTAGACATGACCCTTTAACCCAAATTTCAGCCTTCCAATCCCAAATGTATTCTGTAGAAAATTGTGGGTAGAGAGGTTCATTGAGTACGGAACGCTGATGCATGGATCACTGGCAGCAGGTGGGTTAAAGGTGTAAATTTATTATCTGCCACTAATAAAAGTCATCCTATTCTGGAAAAGATAGTATACTTTACACACACCACTAAAAGTTTTATCAGCATTTAGCAGGTTATTTGAAACAATAGAACTTAGATTTTTATTCTCAAAAACCTGTGAACATGAACATTAGTTTGTAGCTTTATGGTATTTCTTAAGTAAATACTTTTTCTAGGATCTTATGGAGACCATTTGAATTCTCAAGAAGACTTCTGAAAGTGAAAAGCTGCAGCATAACTGAATCAGAATTTTTGATTCCACTAGCTTGGACATCGCTGACACAGAAACTTAGGAAAGCATCTGATATTTCCTTACCCGGTCAACGAAAAAGATCCTCAACCATGCCAGAAATAGAAACAAATGAGAGAGACTCTGAATTGTTTTCACCACCTTCTGATGTTCGAGGCATGACAAAACTTGATAGAACAGCTTTTAAAAAGACAGTCACCATTCCAGTGCTTAAAGTGAAGAAAGAAATAGTCAATAAATTGATGCGATCCCTTAAAAGGGCAGCACTGCAGCGCCCAGGCATAAAACGTGTGATTGAAGATCCGGACGATGAAGAAAATAGACTAATTATGTTGGATCCCTATAAAATGTTTACTCATGATTCTTTTGAGAAAGCAGAACTCAGTATTTTAACACAGCTTAATGTCAAACCACAAATATCTAAATATAATTTGGAACTAACTTATGAAAACTTTAAGTCAGAGGAAATCTTGAAAGCTGTGCTTCCTGAAGGTCAAGATGTGACTTCAGGGTTTAGCAGAGTTGGACATATTGCACACTTGAACCTTCGAGATCATCAGCTACCTTTCAAGCATTTAATTGGTAGGTGTGTTATGGTATTTTGTGTGGGTATGATTTTAGGACTGTGCTGTTATGCATTTCCTTTGTTTTTATTCATGTGCTGGAAAGGAATTCACAAATTCTAATTTTAGTTTTTAAAATTATGTTTTTAAATGCCAAATTTCAGCCTTGGGACATTTTATCATTGTAACTTTAAGCTGTATCTTGAGCTACGTACCCTCTTTTACGGGCCATTTTGGAAAACCCTCTTTAGAGTCATAGCAAGCTGTATTGGTCCAGGCTTTTGTGTACACCAATACATAAGTGTAGATTAAACTTGAATTATTTGCCTTGGCAGCTACATTGAACATATTTTTTTTGGTACCCAAGACTTATTAGTCTTTCAGGACTGTGTTCAATACTAGCTTTCATAAATTTGAGTGTTTTATAGTCAAAAATGCAAGACATCGTTTATATGCTTTCATTGATTCAACCAACTGATCCTCTTCTATGTGTCAGGCACCATACTTTGTTTTTTAGCACTCCTAACCTAAATTCTCCAAATTGTTTTTTTAAATATAATTATCAGAACTTCTGGGAATTATTTTCAGCTTTAAATGTAGTACTCAGTATTTTGCATGGGTAGGATTTTAGGACTGTGCTGTTATGCATTTCCTTTGTTTTTATTGATGAAAGCGACTGATGATGGATAGTGGTGACATAATACTTAAACAGATTCTTATAATTGTGACTGGGTGCAAATGTCAAGTCTAGGCTTTCCTGTGAATTACTGCCTACTCTAACTCAAACATTCCTTTGGCATTCCTATTTTATAACCTCTCTTTCATAAAGGGGCACTCATAGGTTAAAAGTAATACATTTTCATACAAGAATGATTTTAAAGATATTACTACAGACCTTCAGAGTAGCTTTTAAAAAAGTTTTAATTTCATTCATTATTTCAAACTAACTTCTATACCTTAAAAATTGAGTTCAGATAAATGAAACAGAACAGGATAGAGCAATGATTGATTAGAGTTTATTGATATTATATATATATATAGTAAATTAGATGTCTAATTATCAGAGAGAATTTGGACAGATTCTGGTTGTATTTCAGCATATTTGTATGACTGAGTACTTTTTACTAACTCACAAATCAAGTTATCTTTCCTTATGTAGTGAATAGCATATCGATTTTTATAAAAATTTTTAAGTGCTAACCAAAAATAGACTGATTAAAAGACATCAATATGCCACTTCTGATGTATTTTATTATCTTTATAGCCCTTCTGCTGTGATAAATATTTGACAAAAAGAACAATTTAAGTAAATGAACATTTTATTTAGACAAGACTCTAAAGAATCTATGTTTCTTTTATTTGGAAATATTGTTTTGCCAGCATAAATTTCCAAAGTGGAGGCATTTGTTTTAAATCCACAGTAAAACAGACATTTGGTTTGAGGCCAGTGGGGACAGCCAGATGTTATGCTGTTTTCTGAGACCATTTGTTGCCAGGGTCTTTGTCTTTACTTTCTTTCTCAGTTCCCTGTGGTCTACCTTTTTGTTTACTTGTTGTATTGGGACATTTGAAAAGATTTAGAAAAAATGCAAACATATTAGGTAGACCCAAACTCCTCAACATTTTTTTCTTTAAAAATGTACCCATTTTCTGTGAGTATTGGCATCAATCAGACATTAACTTTAATAATCTGCTGAAGTTTTAGAATTGCATGCCACATTACACACTGTAGGTACAGTTTTTATTTATACTCTAAAGAAAATGTAATTCATCTCTGTTTTATATTTGCAGTTTTAGCCTTGATTTTGTAATCAACAGGCAGGATTTATTATTAATTTTCATCTTTTCTTTTAGGCCAAGTTATGATTGACAAAAATCCAGGAATCACCTCAGTGGTAAATAAAATCAATAATATTGATAATACATACCGAAATTTCCAAATGGAAGTATTGTCTGGAGAGGAGAACATGATGACCAAGGTATATTTTATTATCTCCAAATAAAGTGTATATCAAGATTAATGTTTAGAATCAGAATAGAAGACAAAGATTAAAGATATTTATCACAACCAGTATTGATGAGTATGTGAGAATGTGAGCACTCACATAGACTACTGATGGGATAACTGTGACAGATAAAGTCTTTCCAGAAGAATTGATTAAACTCTGTTATAATTATGCAATGGAATATTACATCATTAACGATTTTTTAGCTCCATATTTGTTAAAATAAATTGTCCATTGCCAGTTTAAATGACAAAAAAGAAAGTTATAGGCTGGGCGCGGGGGCTCAAGCCTGTAATCCTAGCACTCTGGGAGGCCGAGGCGGGTGGATTGCTCGAGGTCAGCAGTTCAAAACCAGCCTGAGCAAGAGTGAGACCTCGTCTCTACTATAAATAGAAAGAAATTAATTGGCCAACTAATATATATATATAAAATTAGCCAGGCGTGGTGGCGCATGCCTGTAGTCCCAGCTACTCGGGAGGCTGAGGCAGAAGGATCGCTTGAGCCCAGGAGTTTGAGGTTGCTGTGAGCTAGGCTGACGCCACGGCACTCACTCTAGCCTGTGCAACAAAGCGAGACTCTGTCTCAAAAAAAAAAAAAAAAAATTAAAACAAGAAACAAGATTTCTATTCTTACAAATTAGCAGTGGATGTATTTTCTGAGTTTAGCATTTTTCGAGACCTTGTTGCAAGTGCACAGGAAATTTCCCTATTTCAAAATCTATTTAACTGTAGTTGAGGAGATTCCACCTAATCTTCAGTTGGAAGTGATTAATGTGCTATGTAACGACATGCTAAAAGGCAAATATGAAAGGGAGAATCTAATAGAATTTTACAAATGCTTTCCAAGTAATGAATATGCTCAGTTAGTAGTATATACTCTGAATTGATATGAGTACCTGTGTGAAAAGACATTTTAAAATATGAAATGTATAAAATCTCATTACCATTAATGTTAATAGTTACTGATAGTTAATGATAATCATTAACAGGTGACCATTTACAATTGATCATTTATAATTACGTAGATTCCCAATTAAAGGCAATGTTATTCCCCAAAAAAAGGCATTACAAAAATTACATTTTGAATTTGGCAATAAAAACAAATTGTGGCAACTGGTTTTA